TAGGACCACTAAAAAATTTACTCAAATAAAATGATAACCAACAAAAATATGTACCCAAATTTGACTTTTAGGAACTAAAATCAAATCTAGTTAATATACAGGGACTAAAAATGAAAATTACATAATTTATCTATTTTGAAATTAACTATATCACTCAATTTATATATCGTGATTCACTGCTAACTTGACTTTTGTAAATTAGTCATGTTCACATTGTCTATACTTACTAACAACATGAAACAATTGTAAAAGGTTTAGAAAATGTAAGGAATAAAATAAAAAAAGTGAAGGACTAACATAAAAATTCGCTACATTTATTCAGATAAGATATTTAAGCCTGTCTTTTTTTGAATCTTGTGGATGTTTTATCCTCACTTGGTAAAAGTTACAAAAGAAACAAACAGATTCTTTTATATATATATATATATGAGCACATATATACTAGGAGACATAATGACCTCATGGATGAAATCATGAGTGATACTAATGAATATAGGACTTATGGAGAAGTAGTAAATTGCAACAATTTACGCCCCAACTAATTGAAAGTGTATCACCCAATTTAGTTATATGAGCACGGGTTTGTGTCTATATTTTAGAATAGGCTTGAAACCTTCAGTGACGAACCTCACCCAAAGGTTTTGTCTCTTTAGAGTAGGCCACTAATGTGGTCAAAAGCTTCAATTTTTGGTTATGATGGAACTTCAATATTTTTTTTCTATTTTCCCCACTATTACACATTTACACCATAACTCCAATTTTCAATAGCATAACACATATTTCTTAACCCAATGTTAGCTATATGCCCCAACATTTTTTTATATAATGAAATATATTCCATTCTAGAAATCGAAGGGTATAGATGTCGGCAAAAAATAATTAACGGTCAGTCTAGAAATGGATCGAACCTCAATGGAGTAAAACATTAGCACTTCTTTGACCCAAAATATGTTTACAGCACAGTTTCAGAATTAGTTTCAGAATTTTACTAGTGGGGCTTATTTTTCAGAATTTTGAGAGCATTTTTCCTTTCACTTTCTTGATTCATGTACTTTCTTTTTACGGGAAAGAACTTCTATCCTATTTTTAGTCTGATTAAGTTTGTAACAGGAGTTCTTGACTTTTACCGTCAATACTCCTTAGAAAATTGAAGTATGGTATTAAATGTTTGTTAGCTAGTTTTTACTTTTTAAGGTTCTCAGACCGAAAAATGGTTAGATTCCGTATGGGTCAAGTTATTCTTCATGGCAAACAGAGTAGCTAGATTAGTTAGTTAAAAAAGAGAATTTCTGTGGTTGAAAAAGTGAGCAAACAATTCCTCCTTTACTCATCATTCCAACTGCAGTCATGGTCAGACATAGACCTTTTAATAAGTGCTATATATGCATAACAATACATGATTCAGTGTACTAACAATTCATCAATTAGTGGTTGTTTTTGCTCAATCAGAATTTCGAGTTCATGTTATTGGAATGCAACTGCATTAAATACTTACTATAGTAGTAGGAAGAGATTTGTCACTCAGAATAGTAAGACACTTTTGTTACAAATTCTTATTCACTATGGATGGTTATGGCATTGGCTAAGAAAACAAATATGGCCTGGTAGGTTTTCATCAAAATGTCATAATCATTCTGTAATGAAATTATTAAGTTTCATACTGAATAGCAGTTGTTTCTTTTTTGTATGTTAAGCTTAAGGAACACAGTCACAAATCAGAAAACAACAATGTGATCCCCATTTTCTGCATGATTTCTATTTTGTGGGCTCCAGAGAAGAAAATAGGCACGCGTAAATACAGAGAAAGAGTGCAACATTTCTGACTTCTGTGCAATTCACAAATGAAATGGAAACAAATAATTGACTAGCCATGTAAACACAAACACAAGTTGATACATTCCCTTGCAACTCAGTCTCTGCAGTTTGCAATTTATTTTGAGTATCTTTATTGATTTATGTGGACATGCAAAAGTGTCTCCTTCAAACATAAGTATACATTGTCTTCGAGCTTTCTCTAAGACTCATGGTCGGTGAAAAAGACAGAGGTAGTCCTAAAGTTTCCATCAACTGGACCCCAAAAGGAAAGACCAGCTCTACAATAATGAAGCTCAAGTAGTCAGGTAAAGCAGCTATGAAAGGAAATTCATCACAATGCCATATTAATTGTGTGATCAAACTTGAAATCTTGAATGATTAGGCTTTTGATTGGAAATATATATATATATGGATGGTATTCATAGCTTGAAATCTTATCTAAAGTTTTATATCTAGTTACCGTATTATTCACTATTCATTTGTATTAGTATATTTAAGAGACAATGATGATTACATGCTACTGGTGTTTATACATTTTTTCCTCTTGGAATAATGTGTTACTTGAAAATTCTGTCACAATTTGCCCCACCACTTTCACTAACTAGTGTTTAATATTTTCAGTAGAAAAAACTTAGGCATAAGTCTATTCTGTCCTGCAGAATGGCACTTAAGAGAAATTCTTCATAAGATACTCAATTAGGACTAGAACATACGTTTCCTTGCGATTCCTTAGCCACTTAATACTTGCCCTGAGAATCTAGGTTTATAAAAGAAGTGATGCTGATTTTATATTGGTTTGATGAGAGCTATACTTTATGTGTACCTGTTTTTTATTACCCATCCTTTCTATATCCATTTAGTGTTTTTTTCCTCTTTCGATTAATTGTGGGAAAATATCACGCGTATGTTTGTAAGATAATTGGTGTCCTCTGAATTGCACAAAAAGAACATTAATTAGAAACCTCTTAGGAAATGATTTTCGGGTTAACGAAGTCCAATAACACCATAAAGCATAACTATGTTGGGTCCAGCGTAGGATCAATCCCATTGTAATTTGGGCTTGTATTTTAAAAGTATAAAGTGCGGAACATTTCGATTGATAGTGGCTGATTAGTTGGACATATACCCACATAGCTCGGGTTGAAATTTGCGGTTCGGCTGCATGAGTTACTTATGAATAATAAAACTTATTTTCAGGAGGGTTTTTCTCATTTTTATATCAAGTATTGAGGTTTAAGATTTTTCATTGAAATACGAAGAAGATCAAATACAGGTGATGAAAAAACTAAGTTTTCTAGGAGTGATCTTAGTGCCACTGCTATATGCATAGATTTTTCATTGAAATACAAAGAAGATCTAGTACATGCAAATTTGGCAATGTCATACTTTGTGCATAGTTGACTTGTAACTTATAGTAGGTCTAGTGATCATATTGTAGGTCTTTTCTTGTCGTGTTGGTAGGAGATTAAGTGAGATTTGCAGATAACATGATGCGATTGGCAAGTGCTTGGTTTGCAGGCGGCGTGGTTAGAGGTGTCAAAATGGGCGAGCTCGTGCCGGCCGGCCCGCCACAACCCGAAATTTTGTAGGGCTTGGGTATTAAATTTGGCATTTTTTAATGAATTCGGGCTATATTAAAACCGGGTTCGGACTACCCGTTTTCTCTTATTTTAAAACTTTTTTGGGACTTTTTGACTAGGTAATAAGCTTAAGATGAAAATTATTTTACAAAATAACTTGTCATAAAAAAATAGATAATATATACTAAATATTGTGTTATGAACTTTGAATAAAAAATAGAGTAATATCTATAACATAAATATTTATAAATTACAATAATGTTATCAAGTTAATAATTATATTATTTTGCTTAATATCATTTTAAGCACATTAGCAAAATAGTGTATCAAATTAACCTAGAACATTAAACCATATAGATTCTATTTTTCTTTTTTTAATTGTATATTTAATTATATTTAACTTCTACAACAAAAACATAATAAAGAAAATAATTTTTACAACGAAACTGAAAAACAACTTAATTGTTTACCGTAGAGAACTCAACACAACCAAATTTAACATAACAGTTCACAATGAAAGTGTTGATAAAGAACATACAAAAGATATTCATACACAAAATAAAGAAATGTTATGATGATAATTATATTTCGACACATAGAATTCACTCTAAATTTGAGTCTATACTATCATTACTATAAACCAAAGTGATATTAATTTTTACTGTATCCATTTATTATATTGAAGTAAAGTTAGAAATTATATTATGTTAGAGATTGAGAGTCTAATATAAATAAAATATTTAATGAATGAGTTATGTTATGAATCATATCCATAAACTTAACATCATGTCTTAGCTCAAACACATAGCATTATATCTATAAGTTTGGTTGCATTGAGTATAACAATTGTGTTAAAAAATTTATACATTAATATCAAATGATATATATATATATATATATTAAATATGTTAAAATTTAAATAATTTTTTTAATATTATGCGGGCCGGCCTGCCACAACCCGCAACCCACATAGGACGGGCTTGGGCTACATTTTGATATACATAAATTGTATCCAGGCTTTTTAGCCCGGCCCGGTTTAGCCCAAACCCGCCCAGGTAGCCCGTTTTGACACCTCTAGGCGTAGTAACACATCGTTGGCAGCGTGTCGGGGAAGACGTTAAGGTTGTGATCCCAGAACCGGCCCAATGTGTCCACCCAATGGAAGTAGATTAGCACGACCAACATGGGGTGGTCAGTTGGCCGGGGTGAAACATATTTCAACGTAATGTACGCGTTATGCAAAATTACTTTTTACATCATGATTAGGGGTGGAAACAGGCTAGATCAAACCAAACTTTGCCTTAAACAGGCCAAACCTATATAGCATATAGGAGGCAGGACCACCTGGTCTGTTAGCCTGTTTAAAAAAATCAAAGTCTAAGTCTGACATATTTAAAAGTATGGTCTGACCTGTTAGCATGTTTAAAGGTCTGTTAAGCTAAAAAATTTAACACATTATGTACAAACTAGAAAAAATTATTATAATTATAGCAATTAGTGTGCAATTTTTTACATTGTTATCACAATTATTTTCATCATCTTCCAATGTTGTGTAATGTATTCTGACTTGTTTATACCCTTAATCATTATAGACTTTGGAAAACATTGGGTTGCCTGGACTTGAACCCAGGTCTTTGGGGTGAGAGCCGAATATTTAACAAACTAGACTACAATGGATTTTCCATTAAATGATTTTGTTAGTATTAGTTCGACTACCTGAAGTTTGGGTGAATCCATTGCCTTTGAATGAATTGGGAATTTAGAAAGTTTTCTTTCTACGTATCTCCTTATGTTTGTTACTCTAGCTCTCTTAAAAAGTAAGTTAAACAACAAGCTTTAAAGGGGAGAACCTGAATCTCAAACCAAACGTACATTATTGACCCAAAAGTGGAAACAAGAAAAGTTAGGGTAAAAAAACTGGCGGCAAAGCCAACTCACTCATCTGGTTCTATCTAATGGAGGAATAGAGAGATCACAATGACTGAGGTACTTTCCTTGCTAGTATGGCAAGCAGTAATATTGTTATATAATTAGCCTAAGATGTCAAATCAGCATAAAGATTATACATCAGACCATACATTTATTCTACCTAATCCATAAAATGCACTCCACTTCAATATTGCATCAGCACTTTAGTCTTTACTTGAGGTTAGCTTCATGACCCCTCTCGTTCATGAATATGCAACGAATTCTAAACCTTACAGTGTTATACTATTCCATCTTCTTTCATGTGTCAAATCATTACCATGTCAATTTTCTGGGGTAAGGATCATCTCTGGTCTCTCTAGTACGTCTTTCAAAACAAAAACAAAAAAAATCACATGATTAAAAAGAAATATTGCTTCAATGTTCTGCATCATTCATGTACAATAAAATATTTTAATTCTCTGATATAGAATAGAATGAGAGGAGATCTACTTACTCCAATAGTAAGTTTAAATTTAAACTTACTTCTAGTCATCAATTCTTGGTAAATTCAATTGTTTGAATTAGTGAATAGAATGTGAAGTAAATTTAAAAAACTTACTATTAGAGTAAGTGAATCACTACTCATATAAAATACATAAAATTATGATGGCAATTATTTTATATATTATTTTTTCAACCCATGGGCATTCTATTATGATGAGAATTATGTTGGAGTTAGGAATTCATAACAGGACAAAATTACTTGTTTTATTTAGCAGTAATTTTTCATACATAAAACTTAAATTTGAATTTTAATTAACGAGAAATAAGTATCTATCATTACTTACTACATATTAAATTTAACGTCACTTTAATAAGCAGATTTCAAAAAGAACATATGAATGATGTCTTGCTTTAATTTCCATTGCTTTAATTTAACGTCACTTTAATTGCTTTAATTTAAAAAATTAATCATCTAAGAACACTGGTTAAACAAAATAATATGAAAAATTTTAAATTAAAAAGTTAAGTTGATTAGTTTTCAAAGTCTTAAATTCACAAATTAAAATTTCAAAACAATATACTTATAACTTATAAGCATTGGTTGATAGGACATAATATATTAGAAATTTAGCATATAAAACTGGCAAGTTGAGGGTCACTCATTTTTAGTGCTAACGAGATCATTCACCATTAATAACATGAACGACATCATTCACCATTAATAACATGAATCAATGAACACCACGCTTGGTGCAGTGGTCCACACTAACCTAATTGTGAGCCATAAACAGCACCTTAGTTTGGCAAATAAGGGTGGAACCCACGTTAGTAATCGAGCAAGGATGTCAAAAATCCATACAGTTTCATGCACATAACATAAATGGTTATTCACAAGTTTTAGGAATGAGTTCGATCGCAGCCTGTAATTGTACCTTCAAGACTAAGCTAATCTAATCATTTTCACCCATGTCACATTTTTAAAAATATAAACATGACCCCCACAAATTTAAGGGGTAAAGATCCTCTCCCATACCCGAGAGGAGAGGATAGTGCAACAAAAGTAAAAGAAAAAAATAGTAAAAGAAAAAAATAGCATTGTAACACTTTTATCCTTCCGTTACAATTGTAATAGCATTTATTGTAGTATAAAAATAATAACTCTTCTGTCTCAAACTTAAGTGCTGACTGACTCAAAAGTTATGCCATGTACGCGTAAGGTTCAGCCAATAAATACATTATCTATTCAAAATGACCCTTCTAATTATCTTAATTGCATATGAGTACACCCATCCCCAAGTCAATAAATATGAGGCCCTTAAGCTGCATTTCTTCCCTTTCTCCCTCTTTCCTTCAACCCCTCTTTAGTTATAGAACAAGTACCAACCATGCTCTCTGCTCTTTCTCCTAATCATCCTTTCCTCTCAAACCCATTCTCTACGGTGTTCCACAGCGGTTTCACGCCGTGGGATTGCCATGATCTTTTGCTATCCAAACCCACCAGCCCGAAGCCAGTTACTTCAAGCACAGGCTCTGACGACCCCGACCAAACCCATGCAAAAGAAAAACCGGACTCAGATGACTCGAACCGTGGCATGGCCATTGTAGGGGAGCGTAAGCGGAGGCGAATGATATCGAACCGGGAATCGGCCAGGAGGTCACGCATGCGTAAACAAAGGCATGTTGAGAACTTACAGAAGAAGTTGAACCTGTTTAGGGTTGAAAACAGGGAGCTGAATACTCGGTTGCAGTTCCTACTGAACCACTGTAACTGCGTACAAACCGAAAATGATTGGCTCTGGTCCGAGCGAACCTTGCTCTGTCAAAAACTTTCCAGCATAAGTCAATTTATGGTTTTCCAACAACTCCAACCCTTCTCCTCTTCATGGCCATGCAATAATCTCACAGTGGAATAAACATTATTACAAACTTAAATTATTATTAATCATAAATAGGCCAGGCCATTGTTAAATATTCTTATGGCAATAACTGTGTAAATTATCAAATGTAGCTAAAGGGTGAAGTCGGGGTGAGGTTTCCGCTGCTTTTTTTGGGGAAAACGGGAAAGATTTTTTTGGAAAATATCTTTTTTTCAAAACTAGAAGGGTGATTGTCAGTTTTAATTATTGTTATTAGTATGTTCAATAATACTGCTAAGTGTTTCTGCTATGATTCTACTAGTAGGTAAGTTGCATAAATATTAATCTATCCTTCAGCTACAATTTCGTTATTCTATATAAGTCCTCTTGCAAGGTTATGCAGCAGATTCCAAATCTCGTGTACTATAAAATGGAAAAAATTGAACAAAAAATAAAATTCCATGACATGATGATATATAAATGACTTCATGTCCAATCTCCTAAATCATGCGTACACTGAGAGACCCCAGCAACAGACAAAATAACTTTTACTTGCAGAAGCGTGTGATTTCTAAATTTTCTGTAAGTAAAAGTTATTTTTATGAAATATGAATTCACATAATAATAATCAACGTATTAATTTCATTGGTATGATATGCTACGGGCGTAACATTATAAAGATTTATACATAATCATTATTTCATTCAATATTTATTTATATTATTTTTATTTCATATATTTCTCTAATATCTAATCCTAAATCATGTTCAATTCATCTTTTATAATTATTCTTTTTGGTCTATACCATGATCTTCCATGGATTACAATGTTATTCCAATATCCACAATTATGGTAGGTCCAAGTGGACAGATCATAATTAATCACTCAATATATAGTACTTAGTTTGAATGTGAAATTAGATTTAAAGAATATAAAATAATTCAAAATTTTCAATGCCACACACGGAAAATCAATATGTCACCTTCTTTTTAAGTGAAGGTGATTGGTTTTGGATTTAAGTGCAATCAAGATAGGAACTTTACCCTATAATAATAAAAAGACTTTATACTCGTAATTTTTTATAAACAAAGGGGTCATAGATTATAATCATAGACGTAATCAAATCACCAATGAATAAACAAAGTGCAATGGTCACTTCTAACTTGATTATTTTACACCAATTTGCATTATGTTAACAATATTTAAAGATTAATTTGCGGTGTAATATTATCTAAAGTAGTTTCACGCAAATTAAGGAATATAAATAATATTAAATTTATCAACAACTAGCTAGATATAACTTCCAAAATCATCATTCTTGCAACTAATATTTTGAGGGCACGGGTATCGCATTTACCTTGGATAGGCTGTGTGTTTACTTTCTTCACCTTCAAATTACATGGTGTGCAAGAAAATTTTTATTCAACAAACAAAGCAAATGGAAAGATCACTAAGAACTTTAATAAATTTCCGAAGACTAATAACAAATTTTGCAATATTGAAACTATTATTTAAAAGTTTGCTCATCTAGTTGGTGTATCTAAAATATTTCATTTTCTTCTAAAACTATGATAGTAGTAGCCTAGAAGCACAGTTTAGGGGCCAATTTCCAGGGCCAATGCTACCCGCGTCGACATGTTCTAGTCAATTGCCTTTTTGCTTAGCATGCTTATTGGTTTTTCGCTTAAAATACTCCAAAGTAGGTACCTCACTTTGTAATTGCATAGGGGACCAGCTTTAAGCACTGTGATGGTGTTGATTAATAAACACTAAAACATCACTTTCTACATAGATCATGGCATGGTGTATCTGTGGGCTCATGAAGTATAAACTGAATTATATAGAGACATGCATCCAATACTCTATTAGGAGCATCGTATCCAATACTCTATTAGCACATAATATCCATATGAAAAGCATTATTAGAAGGTGTTTGCTAATTTGCGAACTACTATTTAATTTGTTTGGAAGCGGATTGCTTTATAGCCGTTGGATGAAAATTTTTGTTTACTAGCTATTGTTTTATTGACCTTTTGGAAGCCGATATGAAGGTTAACGAATTTAGATTAGAAGTCGGTATGAGAAAATACAACTTTCAATTAGTCTAAAGTTGGTGTGGGTCATACCGCCTTTAGTGTAGAAAGATCACACAAACTTCTAAAAATATCAATTCAGAAGTCGTTTCTTGCTATACCGACTTCTAAAATTCATGACATACATATTTCTAAACATAACATTTCAAAAGCTGGTTTTGGACATACCGACTTTTGTACTATTTTAAAGTCGTTTCGTGTCATACCGACTTCTAAACATAATAATACAATAATCAGTTTGGGTCATACCGACTTTTGTAGAAGTCGTTTCCTGACGTAACCACTTTTATACAGGGTTGAAGACACCAACTTGGGA